AAAGACTATCAAAAAATTAAGAGTCTGAATGTAAAACAGGCACCAGGCACCCATTCCTCTCCATTATACTAAGTCAACTTATCCTTTCTCATCCTGGACACACCATCACAGTTGCAAACATAGAAAGTCTAAGCTCTTTTTTAGATAAAACAAAAATCAAGCCCTGAGTATTGGATTCACATTTAGGATTCAAAGATTGAATCATAATAAACATTTCATGATGAAAAACTCTGGAATTTTTAAGTCTTAAACCAGTCTTCCTCTCCCCATTCATCCTTACTTTTCAGAGCTATCATGCAAACAAACTGTATCAAAACATGGCTTCAATTACATTTCAAAGAAATATTTTTTTTTTCCTGAATAGATCAACAATATAAATTAACACAGGTGGAAACCCTAGAAATTGCCTGGCTGCCTTAATAACCCCAAAGGAAACATTTATTTTAGCCAAACTATTGTAATGTTTGTCTCCTTTTTAGAAACATCTGCTGCCAAAATAAACATTTGCATTGGAAGAAGTGTTTTGGCTGTTAAGAAGGTACCAAATAAAATGCTTATGTTCTGAAATAAATATTTTACTCAAAAAATATGCAGCAAAATTAGAATACCAATCTTTTTCAAGCCCTCTTCAAGGAAACCTGTTTTGAATTGTTTTTACTTCAATATGAAGTAATAAGTTCAGATGAATCACCTTAACAAAAATAATTAGTTTATATTTAATTTTGCCATTTTCTATTTCAAAACAAGGATCATCTTCTATGTTCCTGCTTTAAAGTTCTTCACAATACAGATACGCCTTTAAAAACTAAAAGTCATGTTTTCCCATCATAAAAGCACGCATGAACTTAAATCTCTCATTTTGCTTTTTTCTTTTTGCCCTGTTTTATAATTCCAACAGGCATATTATCAAACATCTATAAGAATAATTAAAATATCAACCCAATTACAAAAAAACTCAGGGAAAATCTTAGTCCACATAATTGAAATCTACTTGACACAAATAAATAGCTTAGCTTCTGTAAGCTGTTTCTCCTGGGTGCCATTTTATATGAAAATATTATTTAAAACAAGTTGGCAAAGGCCTAGGTGTACATTTATGATCATAAAGGACAAGAACAATGAAACAAAATCGGCATTCCTGATCCAGCAAAGTATATCTTGGTGTCTTTAAGGTTGGTTTGTTTTTTTTTTTTTTTAATCTGAAAAACTCAAGAGTCAGATTCTAGTAACCTCAAAAATTATGCATCTTCTGTATAGCTGTCTAATAGATTAAATCAGCCAAAGTACTTCTGTTAACCAACCCCAGGTCTGAATTCCAGAAGCCTGGAGGCAGAACATTCTCCACAGAGGCATACAAAATTCATTTCCCCCCTGAACTCAATAAAAACTCAAGTAGACTAGTTGTTAGGGCACCGTGCAAAACTAATCTGTTTAGCCATGTATTTGCCTGATGATGTGGGAGAATCAGCAAGTGAAAGACCACAAATCTAGTTCCAGTTAATAAAGACTAAAATGATGTACTATTATCACGTCATGCTTCAAAGATTCAGTCATGAGTATATCTCAAAAACACAATTATCACCATACAAATCAAAGACCACCAGGGTAATACTAAAATCAAACACAGTCAGTGGCCAGTTCCTTCAGACTTTCAGAGACAAAAAAATAAACAGTGATACTCTCCATGTTAAATTTCACATCAGCACTGCAGTTCTTTCTAACAAAATACTCATTTAAAATTCATAACACAGGAGAAGAATGCCAGCCAGGAATCAAACTGTGACCCCTGAGCCAAAGACAACTTACCACTCAGCTGGTAAGTGGGCAACTCAATTTACAAACTTGAATTCCTGCATTTTAATCCTGTGCAGAAATATATGAGCAGTATTAAATGAACTGGATTCAGCTCATTAGAGGTTCACAAACCAAACACAGAAAGTTCTGGAAGCTATCCAAAGCAAAGTCATGCCTAGGTGGTGATGTCCACTCAATAAATACTCAATGTCATAATTATCTTTCAACTTTTTCCCCGAAGAACATTATTAGCCCCAACTACAACAAAGGTTAGCCAATTACATTAATCCTAAGGGAAGATGGATAGGACCAGCAGCCAATCACAGTGCCAGGACCTTCTTTGTGGACAAATTTATAATTATCCAAAATTCAGAAACAAAGCAATTCACTGAAAATTCCTCCACAAAGAACACAGGCTCAAGCTAACAAAATGAATGCATGTGCTCTAATAACCTTTGCTCTAGATCTTCACTATTTTTTTCCATTTCAAAAACTATTAAGAACTGTTCACATGACCTTGGTATTATAAAAGCTGTATGTCTTCTTTAAAATGTTATACACATTCAAAAGTGCATTGCGTTATTTTTAACCTTTTAAATTTTAAAACAAGATACTATATTTCAAAGCTGTATTTAACTAAATGAAAGGGTAAAAAGGCAATACAGATTATTTAGACCTATGACTTTGATTAACTCATTATGAAAGTTCAACACTTCTGCAGCCAGGATATTCAATTTCTTACCAGATATACTATTTTCCTTTCATTATCAGAAAGATCTGTGCTTAATTAGAACTGAGTATTTCTTTTGGTTAGCAGTAAAATATCTAATCTAAAATCTTAATTAAAAATTTGCTGAAATACTTGATGGGCAATCTACATCAATTTGTTCCTTCAAATAAATCTAAGAGTCATTGGATTTAAAAAGTGTGTAAGAGTCACAGGGATTAAACAAATGGAAGAAGCTAAGAAAATTGAGATTACTCTATATATTTGTGTATGTCCTCTACTTTTAGCTTTACACATTTGGGAAAGAAAATAATGAAAAACATTTCCTAGGTAATCATTCTTCGCACACCCTCTCCATTTGTTTGACTCCCACTTTGGGACTGGAAACTAAGCCAACATCTAGAACTTCTAGTAAGACTTAACTCCTTCAGAGACCAGGGAGATCCGGCTGCTTGCCATGAACAGCACCTTTTGAAACTGACTTTTTAATCTTACATCAGGGAAACATGCTGAAAAGCAAGGTGGGGAGACCAAGAGTGGCGAGCATCCACTTCTCTCCGCCTGTCCCATTACTTCTTACTACCCTCCCGCCTCTGCTCTCTTCCTGTGGCCAGAGCATCATCCACAACTATTAGCTCCCACATAAAATCAACAACGGAGTGCAATGGGGACTTTAGCAGCCAGCTGCCTGGGCCGTCTTCCTCTCAACTAAAGGTGAAGTTGCTTTAAAACTAAAATGAAGGAGAGAAAATTGCAACTCTTTCACCTTGCTTTTCATCATTTACAAATTATTTCCCTCTCACAATTAGCAGCCACAACTAAAGATTTTTACCCTAGGCAGCAAAATATTGCTGGAAAAAAAGGAATAACGTGGAAAACATTAAAAGAACAATTAAGTATGCAACTGACTGCTAGAATTCTGAGTGGATAACCTTCAGTAATTGAAGGGTGAGGTCTTCTGACAACAGCAAAGGGTGTTCAATCTGCATCTAGGATTCAAAGGCTGAGCTACCTCTATTTTCCCCCATAATGGCCTTAACATAAAAAAAAATCATCCAAGTGGGAGCAAAGATAAAGAGGAAAGACAGCATTTTATTTCTTATTATATAAATAAAAGATTTATTTTATTTATTTTTTTTTTTTTTTAGGGTCTCGATACATCGCCTAGGTTGGACTCGAATTCCTGGGCTCAAGCGATCCTCCCACTTGAGCCTCCCGAATAGCTGGAACTACAGGAGGGTGCCACCATGCCATGCTATTATAACATAGACTTACACAATGTCATAATTACAATAAATTTCGATAATAAATTAATAACAATAATAATGAAACAAACAATAAATCACAATACAGATCAAATAGTGTATAAACGAGGAGGCTCAGAAGCAACCTACTGATGAACTGTTCATATACAGCTATGTCTCATGGAAAGTATGATCAATCATTCTCCATATCCACGTCACAGAGAAAAGAAGTTATATCTAATTTTTTCCCCCTCAACAAAAGATGTCTGGTCAGATGGCAGCATTTCCTGAGACAGCACCGTCAGGCCCTGTTGTCGGTTGCGGTGGCAGCACTATGGGACGCCCCGGCCTGGGGCAGTAAAATGTGCAGCAGCATCGGCCGACCCCCTCCCTGAGGGTTTAGGCACGATATGGCGATTTATCAATAAGCCTTTCTGGTGCTCCTAGTAACTAAATACCCTAACAAGTCTGAATCTAATTGAGTCTTTTCCAGATTTCATCCCTCCTCCAGCCAGCATAAATGGGTATTCTTTCAAGTATCCAAAAGACTAGGTTTATTACTGCTAGATGGTAAATGGTCATCTAAGGTGACACCATTTGATTCTAGAGAAAAAGAAGGAAAATGTTGGGTCTTTTAAGAGCAGGAAAAGTCTTTTTTAAGTAAAAATACAAAATCCATCAAGACCTAAGAAAACAGATGCACATCAAATCCTCTTATATGAAATACAGAAATCTTTTCCAAAAGGTCCAGAAGAAATAATTTGTTAAGAAATGAAAGCAAAATAACTTTGGGAGACTAAACCTTTTTTTTTTTGAATTTTAAAACCTTGATGTCATCCTCATGGAAAAGACCTTTAAAAGACTTGAAAATTCACCTTAAGATAGTCTATTCACAGCTCAAAATCTGACACAGTCTGACAAAAATGTTAGAATGCCAAGTTCACTTTAGAGCTTACATCTGTTATAATCTGCCGCAAATTTATGACACAGTGCATCTATCAAACACAGCTGGTCCCGCTGCCCTTCTACCAAAGAGTATTCTGTCCACTTTAAGAAGCTCACCTTTCCATCTTTAAAAGAAAAAATTATACTTGTGATTATAGAAACAATAAAAATTAAAGCAGAAAATCCGTGCAATGCCCCCTAATTCTCTTTAACATCAATCTTAGGTGGACAGCAAAGGGCAAACACAAAACTATCACAAAAAAGCAGGGGGTCGGTGGACCAGCACAAACCTGCTGCTGAGGGTACTGCATTCCGCCCATGGCCCCGGGAGTCCGACCCTGGATGCCAATTGGATACCGCTGTGGGCCTGGGGGGCCATAGGAACCTCCTGGGTATGGACTGCTCTGCTGAGGCTGAGAATGAGGGTTACTGCCCATGCCATACAACTGAGGTCTCTTCATCACCATTGGATCCATTGGGCTGCCCTGTGAAGACATAAAAGAAGTCGGTTTATTAATTCATTCTTTATTACAAAGGCAGAAATTTTTGTTATGTTAACATATGCATTAATAACACAACTATCCTTAAGTTTTGAAAATATTAAAAACAATGACCTGACAAAAAAATTCAGAAAGGCATTAGGGAAAAAATCTAGATGGATACAAGAAATTTTATTTTTTACTTTTAGGAAGGTTTTAACAAGTAAGAGAGCTCTGGAGTAAACAATACTAAAAAAGATTTTGGACCATAAGCAGAGAGAAAACATTTGCATCTAAAATTCTATTATGCGTACAGGAAAAGAGCATGATAGTTAAGCTCACCCACCTCCTTTTAGCTTACTAGTAATAAAAGAGCAGAGGGTATTGAGTGATTAACATTTTCTGCCTTCAAAGTATTCTTAGAACAATGATTTTATTTTACAACTGAGTCTGTAAGTCTTGATCAAACCTTAGTGCAACCGAGTGTTCATTAAAAAGTGAAAAGATAAATTTTAGATCATGCACATGTCCAGGGTAAGATTTTGTTCAGAGACCAGCAGTGTGTAGGGATGAGCACCCAGACTATGAGTCACAGCACCTCTCCCCATGTAAATCAGCATCTTACCAAACACAACCAGTTCACAAGTAGACGCTGAATTTTATTTTTGGATGGCGAGTCAGGCCCTGGGCTTCAGAGCCGAGGTCATACAGGAGGGCTAGGAGTGGAGCCTCAGCCCTTCACGTCTCGGGGCGTCAAAGGAACAAAGCTATGGGCAGGAAGGCCCTCACCCGGTGCTACAGAAGCAGGCAGCATTCACCCAACAGCTTCTTCCTTCCCTCCTCTGCCCTTCCAAAACCACATATTGATCCCTACCGTGTGCCAGATGCTGCGTTCACACTGAGGTAAGTACACGGGGACTTTCGGGAAGGCTTAAGAATTAGCAGGGTAAGTTGAAGACCATTCGGGCACCATCACAAGACCCTGTCTCTACAAAACTTAAAAACTTAGCCAGGTGTGGTGACAGGCACCTATAGTCCCAGCTGTTCAGGCGAAGGCAATAAGATCGCTTGACCCCAGGAGTTTGAGGCTGCAGTGAGCTATGACTACACCACTCCGCTCCAGTCTGGGCAACACAGTGGGCCCCTCTTAAAAAAAAAAAAAAAAAAGAGGCCGGGCACGGTGACTCACACCTGTAATCCCAGCACTTTGGGAGGCCGAGGCGGGCAGATCACTTGAGGTCAGGAATTCGAGACCAGCCTGACCAACATGGTGAAACCGCATCTCTACTAAAAATACAAAAATTAGCTGGGCGTGGTAGTGCATGCCTATAATCCCAGCGACTCGAGGCTCAGGCAGGAGAATCACTTGAACCCAGGAGGCGGAGGCTGCAGTGAGCCAAGATCATGCCACTGCACTCCAGCCTGGGCGACAGAGCTAGACTCCGTCTCAAAAAAAAAAAAGAATTCCCAAGATAAAGAGGAATAACACGTCCAAGGTGGGAAGGAACAGCACGTACAGTACACAGGGCAGAAGAAACAGCTCAAGGCACTGGGTCAAGAAAGATGAACTGCCTGGTGTGTATCAGGAAATAAAAACTGTCTGGATCCACGTGAAGCACGAATTTGCAAAGAAGATGCTGAAGCAGGCAGAAGCCAGAACATGGGTGAGCCCTACAGGGCATTCTACAGGCTCAGGCTGCCTCTGACAGAAGAACACAGGACTGCTCCCTTGGGCACCCGACCCAGCTGGAAGCAGGTCACGTTGCCCTTTCAGGCAGGTGAGGCTGAGGTCCTGAACTGGCAGCAGTGGTGGGAGGAAGCAAGCCCAGCTCCAAGGCACAGTTAGGAGGGAAATGCGGCAGGATTTGGAGACCGAATGAGTGATGGAAGCCAGGAGCCAAATGAGATGGAGTGTGCAGAGGGAGAAGCCAATCACCGTATCCCCAGGAGTGGGAGCCTTCAGTGGTCTACACAGGAAACTTGAGGCTCTGATATGAAATCCAGGTGAAAATACCCAGAAGGAAGAGACACAATGAGCTGCAGCTTGGGGAGTAAGGCCTGACCTAGAAAAACAGGTAGAGAAGTCAGCAAAGAGGACATCCACTCCCAGAGAGCGGGGATTTTCTCTGTTTTATTCACTATGATATCTCCAGGGCATAAGCTGAACAGTGTACCCAGCACATTAATTGATGAATTAATCAATAGGAAGCAATAAAACCCATGAACTTTATTTAGGAGGAATATATGAAAGGAAAACAATGGGTAGTGAACAGAATCCTAGAGAATATCACCGCTTAAGGGAAAAGGGAAAATGAACCCACAGACAAGCTGGAAGAATGGTCAGAAAATGTAGAGACTCTGGAGAGTGTGGTATTACACGAGGGAAGGGAGCCAGGTATAGCAACGAAACAGGTGTACCAAATGCAGCCCAGGAATGCAGTCAGGTGAAGGGTAAAGGTTTCTGCTATACTCGACAAGAAGGCCACTGCTGTGCTTGGCAAGGACAATCTCACTGCAGAAGTGAGGGCTGAGGCTGGAAGAGGAGGAACGGAGGGGAGGTGAAGACAGAAGACAGGAGCGCAGACCCTGAGAACTGCCAGTCCTCCCTTCCACCGGCACTCCCACTCCAAGGCATTGCATGGGTCCTTCCCATTCTCTTTCTTCCTCAATATTCTGGTGTTCACTTTAAGGATTTGGTGAATCCATTCACCACACATTTACTAAGCACCTACTGTGTGTGTTGTGCCCAGCACTGGAAGCAGAAAGATGAACAAGCTTCCATGTCCTGGAGATTCACTGAAGGAGACAGACTGAACAGGTCGCAGTGCAACACAGCAGCCATCCAGAATGGACAAAGTACCAAGGCAAGGCGAGAAGAGGGTGTCTCACTGGGTCTGTCATGGATGGGTTTTAACAAAGGCTTCCTATAGGAAATACCTGAGTTCAGCCCCGAGGGATCCACAGGAATGTGCCAGGAACCCATCTCACCTGAATGAAGCTCTGTGGAGGACACAGGAGGAAAGAGGGTGCTTTGCTCCAGGACCCACAGCCTACAAAGAACTGTTCTGCTCAAAATTCACCATGTGATGCAATTTTAAACTGTTACTACTTTCACCAGCCAAGACACTGTTTGGACTTAAAATGACAGAAATTAAATGACAGTACATTTTTTGCCCAAACAATATACTGATTTTGCACAACCTGAGTCACCTTCGTAATTAAGTGTACAAACATATATGTTGATATATTTGTAATAAAACTAAAATCTAGGGCTAAGAATTCATTTTCTCATAATTATTTAAACTAGAATTTATGCCTGATAAAAATAAAATGTGATTATTTTCTAGATTTTCCTGAAAAGGGTAAAACTTTTTACGGAAGTATGAAAATCAGGGCTGAGTTGGTGATTTCAAAATCAGCCAACTGAATGAAGGGCCTATGGAGAGGCTGAGTAAATCAAATTTCAGGCTAAATTTCCAATACGGGGCCCTGAGGCAGTCCTATCTTCACATTCAATCTAGACAGCCCAGGGCATAGAAAACGTCTACTTATTTCTCTTCAAATAGTGCACAACCAAAACTGCCTTAATTAAAGCAGAAATGTTGAACGGGAAAATGATTGGAATGTCTATGTTTTAATGCTATAGATAACAGTGCAGCAAATTCATCTTATCAGTGACTAAAATTGTTTTGTAATATCTGTCTCATCACTGCCATCAACTCTCACAGTCCTACTTAAAATTCAGTTAATTTGCACCATGTCAAAAATGTTAGCTTAACCCTGAGATTTCTGAAAATTGAAAGCATGAAATACACAGATTATCTGAACCTCTCAAAATGCATCAAATATCTTTCAACGAGACTTCAGATAGAAAAACAGATACTCATACAGTGCAAATTATTTAATTTTAACCTCTCCTTATGGCCTATTATTAAATATTCATCCACAGTCCAAATCCATCCTGCTGTGTACTACTCTCACTATTTTGAGCATTAAAAATGTACAACTGAGGGTCTCAACTCTTGCTTCTCACTACTAGTCCCTTGAAGAAACCAAAAGCTGGCTGGGCACGGTGGCTCACACCTGTAATCCCAGCACTTTGGGAGGCTGAGGCAGGTGGATTGCCTGAGCTCAGGAGTTCAAGACCAGCCTGAACAACATGGTGAAATCCCGTCTCTACTAAAACACAAAAAATTAGCCAGGAGTGGTGGCGGGCACCTGTTATCCCAGCTACTCAGAAGGCTGAGGCAGGAGAACTGCTTGAACCTGGGAGGCAGAGCTTGCAGTGAGCCGAGATCGCGCCACTGTACACTCCAACCTGGGCAACAGAGCAAGACTCCGTCTCAAAAAAAAAAAAAAAAAAAAAAACACAAATCTAGGACTTCTGGAAAACAGAAAGGCCAAGCTGCTGCTCATATTCACATCTAATCTGAAGCAATTTTAAGTGTTTTGTTTTGTTTTGTTTTTTAAGACAGGGTCTCACTCTGTCACCCAGACTGGAGTGCAGTGGTGTGATCTCAGCTCACTGCAACTTCCACCTCTCGGGTTCAAGTGATTCTCATGTCTCGGCCTCCCTAGTAGCTGGGATTACAGGCACATACCACCACACCCAGCTTACTTTTGTATTTTTTGTAGAGACAGGATTTTGCCATGTTGGCCAGGCTGTTTTCGAACTCCTGACCTCAAGTGATTCGCCCGCCTCGACCTCCCAAAGTGCTGGGATTACAGGCATGAGCCACTGTGCCCGGCCAATTTTACGTATTTTTTTAACATTTATCCGGGTATGACCATTTTCATTTCTCACTGAAACTTTATGTTCTATCAGGGTTATCATCCATATCAAAAACAGTTCTCAACAACTTCTCTAAATAGGTTATCCAAGCATGTTTTCATTTCTAGATGGCATTCCACAACTGCTGCAGCTTGAGTTTCAATTCCAGAAAATAAGACAAGTGCTGTGAAGGCCACAATATACACACCACCATTTTCAAAGAGCTCTTAACCTAACCAGTCTGGTTTTAGTTACTTGGCTTTTAATGAAATTTTTTTTACTTGATAAGACTTTCTTCCTCCTTATTCAAAGTAAGCTTTTGGATGTACATATAAGTAGGAGTTATTCTCTCTCTCTAAGGAAGAAATACATTGTCTATTTTTAAGAAATGTTTGTATACAGATTCTTCTAAACGTATTGGGTAGCACAATTCAGCTGTATTACATGTTAAATAGGCTTTCAGAGGCTGGCCTGGGAATCCAACTATCCTTTTTAAGACGAGCCAAGTTAAAGGACAACTTGCTTATATACTTTCAGCATACTTTAGATATACTTTATCCTTTTCATATTTAGATAATCTGTTATCACACTTACAGAGTATCCCTACACATGTATTTGTAGTAAAAGGTATCTATGTAATTTATTTGCTCCTAAATATCAAGTTAAGGACATAGTTTATTAGCTGTCTTTACGAATATCATATTTTACTACTTTTTTCAGCCCAATTCCTTCAACCACAAATTTTTGCTTCACAAAAAAAAACAAAAAAACAAAAAAACCCACAGAAAGAACTATCAAATCTTGTTGATCTAAAATCATTTCTAACCATGTGGATTAAACAAGAGCTGATAGAAGAGAAAACTCTTCCCCCTTTTGAACCATTGTTTGGGAAACAACATTCTCTTACCAGTAACTAAAGAAAACTTTCGTAATCTGTTCTGATCTATTTCTCTCGCTCAAACAGGGCAGGGGTGTTTAATCACGTCTGCAACTGTATACCGAATGGCACTGCCCAGCAAGGCAGCAGGGGCTCTGGATTCAGAATGGATTCACAGCCTTGTCCCACCAGGGACCTTGAGTACACTGTGACTTTATTTCTTAGTTTTCTCATTCACTAAAGGAGAAATAAAACCCACCTTGCAATTATTATGAACATCAAATTCATCAGCGCTATAAAGGCTCGCAGAGGTCACAGGGGCTACGGCAGCACCTGGAGCCCAGGGCCCATCTACTCATTGAGAAAAAATGGAACAGCCCAACCGTACAGAAGTAGAGAATCCATGGCCCAGCCGTAACAAACCAACACAGTGGACCACACGCGGGCATGGAGAGGACATGTCAGGTAACGTGCCATTTCTTCAACGCTGATGCACACGGATCACAGCCATGTGAAACAATCTCAATAAGGATCGGGGTCAGCCATGGTGGCCTGTAAATAGTTGCTGTCATATCGGGAAGCAATCTGTGTTTACTTTTCTGTGATGGTGTCTAAATATAGCTCGGAATGCCTCTGTTTTTCCCTGAGCATACTACAAACACTACTCTGGCCCTCCGTAAAGGGAAAACAGGAGGTGGATGCAACACGGCTGTCTAGCCTGTCTTCCGCCCTCACACACCCGCCTGGTCACGGCACACACACAACAGTGGGTAGTGGGCACCCACTCCACCTCACCACAGAGGTCCCCCACCACGTGCCAGTGGCACCACACTGAAGCCACCGTGGGACAGACTTCAGAGCTGCTGTACACACCTGCAGAAGACACAAGTAAAGACAATGATAATACTGAATGCACATTCTGGTCAGGTTCTTCTCCTAACGGCATAAAACCCGTTAATGGCATAAAAACCCCTTAAAAGTAAGAGTGGGCACTAAAGACTCCCCCCTTGTTTCATAACAAGTACCTACTCCTCTCCAAGCCAGAAAGAACCAAGAATCTCAGCTACCACTGCCACCACTACTGCAGAATGTAATCGCCAAAGAGATTCTCTCATGCCCGATGACACAAGAGAGGCTTGGGGTGGCAGGGCTCAGACCAGAGTCAAGCCTCCCGCCTCAGGTCCACAGTCCCTTCTCTGGTCTGGTGCTTCTACACATGATCATCAGACTGAAGTAGGATAACATGCAACCCTGCATCTAAAACCACTATGTTTTTTACTTCAGTGCACAACAAAATAGTGCCTGCTTATTAAGGCTTGAACTAACACGTTGGAACTTCGAATGTGAGTATCAACATATTCAAGAACTTCCTAAATCTCGTATCAAGTTCTTCTTTTGTCAATACAGGAATATTTGCCACATTTTCCAATGGTACAGAAAGGATCAAGAAATGGGATTCTAAGATATTAGACAAGACTGGCCACTCATGGTGGCTCACACCTGTAATCCCAGCACTTTGGGAGGCTGAGGCGGGCAGATCACTTGAGGTCAGGAGTTCAAGATCAGCCTGGCCAAAATGGTGAAACCCCTTCTCCACTGAAAAAAAAAAAAAAAAGATATTAGACAAGGCAGAAAAAGTTGTTTTGTTATTAACTCTAAGAACTATCAAATCATTGGTGCCCTCTAACCATGACGTCATTAGCAATGTTGGGGGAGAGACCTGAAAACACTCATAACTGACTTAGAAATATGACCACTGCCTGTGTTTTTGGTCTTGGTTTTGGTTTTCTTAAGCAAGATGCAGAGAACATATGTATTTGTGGAACCACGGAATCCCCAATTTAGCATACAGTGTCAGAGGAGTTCACGGAATCCACTCTAGAAACCCATCCAAAGATCCCAGACTTACATCATCAAATAATAACAACATATGCTATGCATTTCCAAAGCACTTTAATATATTCTCACATGATCACAATTCTTAAGACACCCTGACCAAAGATTCAAAGATTCAGCAATGTAACTCAGAATCTTAGAACTGCAGAGAGCCTCACTGGTCCATAAGTGATGTACATACAAATCCTTTCAAAGCATCTACAATTAATGTTATGAATTTCTTCCTCCTATGTAACAAAAGTTTGCTCCCTGTCATTTATACCCATTGGTATTACTTGGGTCTTTTGGTAGCATATTTGAAGAGCGCTGTAAGCTATTTCCCTTTTCTGTGTGACATACACCCATTCTCAGCCCCCTCAACACAAAAGGTATTATGGGGGTTTGGGGGAGCCGTTCTTGCTTCCCTTCTCCAAGAACCTGCACTGCTAACAATACAGTCTAAGAGCTCTGCACTCTTGGCAGCCCCATCCCCACCATCAGCTGACTAAACGCCACCTCCCCATCTCCGATCAGACACTTGGTGAGCTGACCCTAGTAGAAGTTTGTCTTTATCTCTGCTTGTTTGCATTTCGCTTATTTCTGAACACCATTCTACCAGGATGAGATTGTTTTACAAATCTTGATTTGGCTCTAACATATTATAGCAACTGCATTTTCTAGCTTGACATCAACCATCAATGAAATCAGCATACTATTTCATCCAAGTCTTCATCAATGAAAACACTGAAGAGGTGTTGAGGGGAGACAGAGCCTTGGACTCACCACCAAAGCTATTCATAAAGACTGATATTTAAATCCAAGCATCAGCATTCTTGAAGCAGATCCAAACAGAAACCTTTACACCGGTTCCCAGGAAGCCTCCCATTCCTTTACTACTCTTGCTATGCAAGTACAATACTGTATTTGCCTTTAGGTGACCACCTATTGACCACTTCAGATTCCTACATCTTTTCTAATATACAAAATCAATCCAAAGTTTAGAAACATAATTTGAAGAAAAGGTTATAAGGGAGCAGGCAGGGGGTTTCAAGTCAGACAAACCTGGGTGAGAATCCTGCCTGTGCTGCTTATTAGCTATGTAAACTTATGCTATTCAACAGAATACAATCATACTCACCTCGCAGTGTTGCTGGTGGATTAAATGAGATACCACAGGATTTATCACATAAAAAGAACTTCCTAAATTTCTTTTCTTCTACTCTTAACAAATTAGTAAATTGAAGTCAGAACTAAACCACTCAATAATTCAATCTACATATTTTCCTGTCTCCCCAGCAGACTGCTAATTTCAAGGTGAAATTTTTGTCTTACTCATCTTTGCATACCTAGCACTTACTACAATGCCTGGCATAATTAACATTTGTTGACATGAGAAAGGAACGGCTTCCCCAATACCACATGGCCGCTTAAACAGTAGGGCTCTAACTAGAATTTACGCCTCTTGATGACCACAAGATAGAAGAGGTAAAGACCCTTCTAGTCTCCCCTCCCTGCAGACAAAGCTTCACTTTTCACAAGTTCACCCAGACCACGGCTTCCATCACTTCCCCAAGCTTCTGTCTCCCACACGCTGCTTCCCTTGGCTGCTTCCTCCAAGCCCCAGAACTCTGCAACATTCCTGCCCAGACATCCACAGGCTCCCCTCTGCCTCTCTCTGACCTCAAAGACACCCCATCCACCCAGATCTCCAAGTCAGAATCCAGGACACGTCCTGACCCCTCCTCTCCTCTCCACCACAGCCAGCTCCTTACCAAGTCAATCTGTGGGACCCACCATCACTGCCCGCAGGAAATCTCCCTTCAACCACACTGGCCTGCACGGGGCTCTAGAAAACCCACATATATTCCACCACCAGGCCAACCATGCTGGCCCGCACGGGGCTCTAGAAAACCCACATATATTCCACCACCGGGCCAACCACGCTGGCCCGCACAGGGCTCTAGAAAACCCACATATATTCCACCACCAGGCCAACCACGCTGGCCCGCACGGGGCTCTAGAAAACCCACATATATTCCACCACCGGGCCAACCACGCTGGCCCGCACGGGGCTCTAGAAAAACCACATATATTCCACCACCGGGCCAACCACGCTGGCCCGCACGGGGCTCTAGAACCCACATATATTCCACCACCGGGCCAACCACGCTGGCCCGCACGGGGCTCTAGAAAACCCACATATATTCCACCACCGGGCCAACCACGCTGGCCTGCACGGGGCTCTAGAAAAATCACATATATTCCACCACCGGGCCAACCACGCTGGCCTGCACGGGGCTCTAGAAAAACCACATATATTCCACCTTCAAATATGCCATTCTTTGACCTAGAATGAGCTCTGCTCTCCTCCTGCAGAGCTCAGCTCCAACATCATGTCCTTAGAGGAGCCCTCCCTGAACTCCAGGCCTGGGCAGGATCCTCTCAGAGTAACAGTGGGCTGATCTCTGTGACTACTTGATCAATGTCTGTCCCCCAGCCTAGACTGTCCCAGAAGAACAGGAATACAGAAGAGGAGAAAAACAAGTATCAAACCCATCTATAGCTATCATCCAGGTGCTACAGAATAAGTCCAGAAAGGAAGACTATTTTGGTTCCCCAGTTTTTCCTTGATTTTTATAAATTGGCAAAATCTATTATCAGCTTCATCCCCCAAAGCTCAGCAGCTTGTAAGTCAATTCAATGAGTAAATTACTGTCTGACTAAACTATACTTTTAAATTTAATTTAGCAAATGTAATAATTTTATGAACAAACCAAAGGCTATATATATTGTTTATTTTGAGAGTAAATTAGATCTAAAAGGAATACCAAAATAGTAATAGAATATATTTCCATTTTTCCTCACATTTATTACTCTTGCTACCCAAAAAAATTGTAAAGCTTTTATCATGGCTTTAACATTTTCTAACATTTACATCTCTAAGTATGCAATATTGTTCATATCAATGTGTCACTACTGACAGCCTAGTAGCAAGCACTTATTTAAAAAAGAGAAATAATATGGTATATTTCCCATACAAATACAGATTCCAATTGAGAAAGAAGCTTTTGTGAGAATATGTCAAATTTTAACCCCACCACTTGTAGCTGTGTGATGCTGAAGAAAGCTACCACTTAACTTCTTTGCACCTCAGTTAATGGATCTGTACACAAAGAACACTACCACTATCATTTCAGAGCTGTTATAGAACTGGAGACAATATATTCAAGTTCTTGGTATATAACAGGCTTTTTTTTTTTTTTTTTTTTAAAAAAAAAAAGGATAGATTTTATCATCATTATTATATGGAGGTATAATTCCAGAATAATCAATGAGGCATGGAAACCCTCTATTGCTCCATCAATGTGCAGAAGACAGACATTGCTAATCAATCCTAGCATTATTTTCCCTAAGTCCAGTAAGCCTCAGAATCCTTTGTCCTGCAGAGTTGCGGGCAGTTGTGTCAACTGTCAGAATTTGCATAAGCAAAAAGCAATTTGCCATCTCCAGTAAAATGTAAAGAGCATAAAAGTATGTCATCAGGTACACCTGGGTTCACATCTCTCTCCTACTTCTGACTAGCCATGAAACGTTAGGTAAATTACTGAAGTGCTCTAAGCTTCAACTTCCCTACCTCTCAAGTAAAAATAATAATACCTCCCTCAATCATTCAAAAGATGTTTAGCGTGATTTGCAAGGACAAACAATTCCAAATACGTATCAGAGCGCTACCTAAAGACAGAGAAGTTACTAATTTCCCCAGCAATCCCTATGGTTGCTACCATGCCTCTTTCCAACTATTTTATCAATATTTTAAATAAACAACTTAAAACTTTTATTAAAGAAAATGCCAATTAAGATATGAAAATTACCAACTGACTTACCTATCTTGGGACAAAGGGTGCTTGTCCTGCTGATACACAGGCTACTTGCCCCTGTTTTTAAAATACTTTTCAGAGATATGACCCTATTAGATATCTAATTTGCCAGAGCTGTAACTATGAGAATGCATATATTGACTCTTACTGTAATGTGGTTGATTAAAGAAAAACAAGTTAACATGACTAATATATGGTCAAATCTTATATTCTTAAAAAAAAAAAAAAAAAAAAAAATAGGGCAACTAAACTCAACATATAAAGGCCAGACAGAATCTTATACTGAAGGAAAGAAGATTGCTATATAGATGCTATTAGGACAATAGACAAAATTAGAATATAGACTGTAGGTTAAAGTATGCAATCAAATCTAAGTTTCCTGACAGTGATAACTGCACTGAGGTGTGTGTAAGAGCATATGCTTGCTCCTAGGAAATACACTCTGAAGTATCCAGGAGTAAAGAAGCGGAATGTATACAACCTACTCTCAAAAATGCTTCTGAGAAAATGCATTACAAATAAATGATGGATGAACAGATGGATGGATGAACAGACAGAATAATAAAGTAAATGTAGCAAAATGTAAAAATGTAATGCATCAGAATAAAAGGCGCATGGGATTTCTCTCCACTATTCTTGCAACTTTGCTGTAAATTTAAAATTATTTCAAAATAAAAGTGTGTGTGTGTGTGTGTGTGTGTAAGAGTCAGACAAGGTCTTGCTCTGTTACACAGGCTGGAGTGCAGTGGTGCAATTACAGCTCTCAGCAGCTTCAAACTCCTGGGCTCAACCCATACTCCTACCCCAGCCTCCCACATAGCTGGGACCACAAGCATGTGCCACCACATCTGGCTAATTTTTTTTTTTTAGAGATGGGGTCTTGCTATGTTCCCCAGACTGGTCTCAAACTCCTGGGCTCAAGTGATCCTCCTGCCTCGGCCTCCCAAAGTGCTGGGATTATGGGTGTGAGTCACAACATCAGGCTGCTTTTTTGATACAGATTCTCCCACTCTGTCGCCCAGGCTGGAGTGCAGTGATGCAATCTCAGATCACTGCAACCTCCACCTCCCAACTTCGAGTGATTCTCCTGCCCACCACGCCTGGTTAATTTTTTTTGTATTTTTAGTAGAGACAGGGTTTTGCCCTGTTGACCAGGCTGGTCTGACCTCCTGACCTCAGGTGATCCACCCACCTCGGCCTCCCAAAGTGCTGGAATTACAGGTGTAAGCCACCACACCTGGCCCTTTTTTTTTCTTTTTTTTTACTTAAAGGGCAAATGGGATGAAGTTCCTTACTTTCTAAAGTGCTATAGTTCTAGAATCGTTCCTTCTCCCTCCCTGCCAGACCTTCCAATTATGCTGTGGTATCAAAAAGAATGTGGGCTGTTAGAGATACTTCTCCTTTCTGCCCCATTCTTTGATCAGAAATCTTATCGATAAACGTCCCTGAAGATCAAAAGAAAGAGAGAGGACACAAAGGGGTCCGAAAAATCCAAACTCCAGAAGGACAAATTCAAACAAACACGGTTCGCCTCAAGGTGACAGGCCCTGCGACCCATCAGGCCTCAGCCCGCCCTGTACCCGGACAGCCCTCTTACGCACCGCCAAGCCGACGCCTGAGCACACAACTCCAAGCCCATTTCTAGAACACTCTGTACCCAGCACAGCTGTGGCTGCCCTGTAAACGGAAGAAGCACTTCCAGACTGGGGAAATACCAGTGAGTACAGCAGCCTGCCTTCACAAGGCTCCACCGTTCCCCACAGCGCTCTTATTTAACAGATAGTCAATTTATCACCATCGACTGCAACTCATGGTTTACCTCTGCCTCCTTTATCAGACAGTAAGTTCTTTAAGGCCAGATATGTTCTTTTCCTCACCCTAATTTTCCTCATAGCCCCAATTTCTGACACCCAGTAGACAACTATTACTGCTATAGTTTCTTTAATAAAAATCCAAAATTAAAGAAACCCAAGTGCATCTTTTAACCCTTACCTCTCTCCAAGCCATCCTTTTCTAAACAATACTGTACTGTCTTCCTACTTGTGTCAAGTATAAGTAATAAAATTATGAAAATCGATACACTGTTTGACTTACAACAGGCACTTAATAAATGTTTGGTATGTGACTGCTGGAAAGACATCCATCTCCTATTCCAAGTGACTTCTGAATTCAAATTATAATGCTCCAAACATACGCATTTTTTAATTTCCATGCTATAATGTCACTATTTCTAGTATTCTAAAAACAGTATTTCCCAAAGTATATGAATAGATGTTATTGTAATTAAGAATGGAAAATGTGTATAAAGCACACACCATTCTTTAAGATTCATAACATATATTAACATTAGAAAAATCTAAAATGTCCTATGTAGAAAAAACTTATTTAACTTGGTTGAACTCAAACTTGTATGGGGAATGTTTTTTAAAGCAGAACACAGGTTGGCCGGGCGCGGTGGCTCACGCCCATAATCCCAGCACTCTGGGAGGCAGAGGCCGGTGGATCACGAGGTCAGCAGATCGAGACCATCCTGGCTAACACGGTGAAACCCTGCCTCTACTAAAAATACAAAAAATTAGCCGGGCGTGGTGGCGGGCACCTGTAGTCCCAGCTACTCAAGAGGCTGAGGCAGGAGAATGGCGTGAACCCGGGAGGTGGAGCTTGCAGTGAGCCAAGACTGTGCCACTGCACTCCAGCCTGGGTGACAGAGTGAGACTCCGTTTCAAAAAAAAAAAAAAAGAGCAGAACATAGGAAAACATGAATTACAATGATATAAAAATGTAAAAATGCATTCCATTTTCACTGTTATCTAGGCCTAGTTAGGTAAACAAACAAGCAAAGTGTCAATAATATAAAAGATAGGTAGAGCTTACCTGTCGATTTTTATATACAGTTGGATAGTAACAGCAACAACAAGGTATGCTGGTCATATATCCTTAGCATTTATGGCAAATTATTAATCAAGTCCCACCTGAAACAATTTGTTAAATTGATTTTAATCACTGGGCCTCTCATGTGAAGCTTTGTATAATCAGCATTTCATTTACAAAATTAATTGCCTGATTGATTCTCAGGAGGCAGTTGCTGTCATTACCCTGCTGTCATAACTTCTGAGTAGGGTGTCACAACATGAAATTCTGACAGTATGAAAAGCACTGCTATTTTAAAAATGGGTGTGGGGAAAAAGGGAGAAAAGAAGAAAACTAAAGAAGTTACATTATCCTTTTCAGCCTAAAAAAGTTGAAAGTGTTTCATGCTAATTACACTCCGTATCAATACCCTTCTGCTAAATGAATTAATATACCAATCTAGCATCAGGGCATGAAGGATTTTTACTATCTTAAAATAATAACTAGAATGTATATGGACACACTCAACAGTAGAAAATTTTACCCTACATTACAAAATATATACATATGTCTGGATATGTCTATATCAAGATAAAAGCAGCACTATCTTAGAATGGCATACTAATTGTCTACTGCCAGCCATTTCAATTTCCCATACTCTTCCTTTCTTAGGCTTTCCAATAAAAAAGTCATGACCAGAAATTTTAGGAATTTACAATGGAGATACAAAATATATCCATTTTATGTATACTCAAAACACATAAGCATGCAGTTTTTCAACAATATTTTAATATTATTGTTATATACACACTTTTATATTGAATTTCTTCTTGCTCACTATTTAATATGTAATAGTCTATTGATAATTGATGGGTCTTCACCTAAAAACCTGTCATCACAATTAACAGAGTTAGAGTAAAAAGCATTTTTTGTATTTAAAAAAAATGAGGTGTACAGAACAAGGGAGGAAAGGGGATTTTTAAAAGTTATTGAGTATCATCCTCACAAAAGTGAAACAGCATTGCCTACAACATCCTATTTCAAGTGCACCCACATAAACATCAAACCAGCCAAAGATTCTACTTTTCTTTACCATGAATCTGCCTTCTCAGAAAGATGCCCAATTCTACACAGGTCCCTAAATCCTGGGACCCCATCTCTCCCGCAAGCTCATGGTTCCATTTCCCACATCCTCAACATTAACCAAAAGCAGGATTGACCACGCCAAGCCAACTTGTTTTCAAAGGCATAATATAACTTCCAGAATATAGAGGGGGGCAGACTTAAAACAACCCCCATTCACTGCAATCCAATTCCAAACACGGCCTCTTTCAAATAAGTCACCTTGAATTTAAAAGAGGCTCCCTGTGGAGACCAGATGTACATTACATTGGTGTTTTTATTTTTGAGACAGGGACTCTCACTCTGTCACCCAGGCTGTAGTACAGTGGCAATCATGGCTTACCTGGCTCAGGTGATCCTCCCACCTCAGCCTCCCTAGTAGCTAGGACCATAGGTGCGTTCCACCATGCCCAGCTAAGTTTTGTTGTATTTTTTTGTAGAGACAGGGTCTTGCCATGTTGCCCAGGTTGGTCTCGAACTACTGGGCTCAAGTGATCCTCCTACCTCAGCCTCCCAAAGTGCTGGAATTACAGGCGTGAGCCACCACTCCTGATGTATTAATATTTTACCTTCCTTTCAGTACATGGAATTTTGATTCTTATGTATTCCTTTAAAAATAAATATCACCTTATAAATTTACTCTATTATCTTGTGACCAAAAGCATTTTGTTTGCTGGCACACTGTACCCACTCTCGTGGTGCAGGCTATCGTGAAGAATCCACAGCGCGGGAGCACGAAGGCAGGGTCTGACCAGCACACCCATCCTTGAGATGGTCTGGAGGGCAGGCCCCTCCTGAACCTCTAGTGTTATTCCACTGCAAAAAAAAAAAAACAGCAACAGCTCGCAGTTCTTGCTTGGCTCACAAGGATGCCCTAAGTATTGATAAGGTAATGTTTGCAAAGCGCTATAAGCTCTGGAGAGAAAGGTCTTATGAAAGCCTAATATATGTCTAGGGTCCCTCCTTAAGTGCCACAAACTGGAATCATTTTGGAGAATAGGGTTCAACAAATTCAAATGCATATCAATTTAACCCTGTCATTAAAAAAGAATCATATAAAGGGAAGACAGAATAATCTCTTACACACGTGCAAAGGTGGTGAAGACACAATACCACACCTGAACACTTAATTCTAACTTCACTACTTCCTATAACAGGATTCTATAGTATATCAGAAATTGTTTAGAGCAGTAATTCTCAAGGGTGAAAATGAATGAATGCTACATAAATAAGAACGAGGGCTACAAGAAGGGTCCAGTTAAAATATACA